CATGTAGCCGACCTGCTCGCAAAGTGCGAGAAAACCGCTTGTATAATCCTGAACTGACCCGAGCTGGCGCCAAGTGCGCAATCTCTGACGCGCCGAAATTGAAGCCGCGATCGGCTCAAAACGCGCCCGAAGCCCTGCGCACCACGCATCCCACGTGCTGTATTGGGCGGTCTCGCAGAACGAACTCCAGGTGACAGCTGGACCCGTGGGCCCTTCCTCGTGCGACGGTGGCTCGTAGGCGCGTGGCGACGTCACGATGACTCGCCACCAGTCCATGGCGGGGCCCCTTAGCAGTGAAACTGCATACCGGATCTTCGCGGCGTCCGACTCGACGTAATTTGCGTCGAAGAAGACGTTCATCGTGAAGACCCACGATTGAACCGTGGGACCGCCGCGTTGGCTTGGGTCGAAGCAGGGCGGGCGTTGTGGCTTGAGCGGCATTGGTGCCATGATGGCTTGTTCGCCACTTGTCGCCGCGAATTCCACGTGCCGACGGGCTTCTCGGGGCTCCCGCGGGCTTGGTGCGATCCTGTTTCCTCCCATGCCAGGCATCGGCTGGGCGGCGCCATTACTGGTTGTGCCTGAGCGTTGTCCCATGCTGTCGTGTTGTGTTGGTGTGCCGGACGAGATGACGATCGGTTCATCCGAATGTGCCGATACATTTGTTGGTGTGTGTGATGTCGTCGGAACGTTCACCGTGGACTGTTGACGGGCGGAGTCACGTTCCGCCGTGAGCGTCGCGATTTCGAGCGCTGAATCTTCCAGTTGACGCACGAGACGCAAGTTGCTCCTGCGTTAACGTGGCGAGCGTGAAATCGGCCATGGCGGGGGTGTCGGGCAAGCTCAGTGAGAGCCTCGGTCGTGGCCGTGCGTGCTTGCGAGAGAGCACTACGAGCGGCGGTGCTGTATCGCTGAGAGACGTCTACCCCCCCCAAAAAATTGAGATAGTGGGGAAGCAAAGGTGTGGATGCGGTCTGAGCTGAGATCGTAGGCTCTGATAACCAAGTGTTACGAGTGCAATTGAGTGAACGAACGAGAATTGCACTATCGAAGCAAGAATACAATGAGCGAGGGCGTGAGCGAAGAATATATAGCGAAACTACAGTGGTAACGGTAATGGTCTGTGGTAGTCGCGCGACGAGCCTGGGACTGAGGTTGGGAAAGTGTCGAGGCGTAGGCCCGGAGCGCGGGTTACCAGCCGAGCCGTGAGGACGGGATGCGATGTGCGAAAAATGGCGGGATGATTGTCGATGCGATGATCGCGAGTGGTAACGGTGCTGACTGAGGTGCTATAGTGATGTACGCGTTGAGCAGGGATGCGAAGTAAGGAAAAAGGATTTTCCTTACACTTGGATACCTGTGACTGCTGGAATGTTGCTGTGCTGTGAGTTGTAGTCATACTGTACTAGCCAAAGCGTCGCATGATCGCATCGCTGGTCTCTCCCCACTGCTGCTCTGTATAGCCCTATTGAAACGTCACGTGTACGGCATGCTTACGTGACCTTTTGAGTCCTAGCCGTGCAAGGGCTCCTGCTAGTGACGATAAAGGAGTAGAATAGCATGGAAGAGCGTAGCAGTGGTTCCAATGTCCAGTGTGCCTCTTTCCTTCTCACGCCTCTCCTTCCGAATCGTGCCTTCGTTCAAAAGCTGGATCAGACAAATAAGGCACATCTCGCCCTTCCACGTTCTTCCTTGAAAAATGGCGATCGCGTTCCGACTGCACTCTTCAATCCACATTTTCTTCGTCTTGGTAGCATCAGCTGTACTCCTTATAACCAGCGTCGACGCGCAGCAAGGATGCGGAGGGAGCTGCCGCAGTCACGACGACTGCAGCGGGCGACTCGCGTGCATGAGCGGCAAGTGCGGCGATGACCCCGCCGTGGGAACGACCATCTGCAAGCCGCAATGGGGGGGAACGTGCAGGCCGTCGGGAAGCTTCCGGGCTCCTGCGTTCGTCCCCTGTGATTCGGATAACATGTGAGCCGCCATTCTTCTCATTGGAACACCGCAGCATAGTTATGTTTTTGTTACATGTCAGAGGATTCATTCTGTGGGGAAAATTTCCTGTGCATATATTTCTAAAAGCCCCCTAATTATGATTTTTTTTTGTGTCCCATGTGCAGGTCTGAATGCTGCAAGCCACTGGCCACGTACTACAAGTACACGTGCTCGCCACCTGTCAGCAATGTCACGTCAGCAATACTGACTCTCAACGGATTTGGTGATGGTAAGTACTAATCACCATACCCCCCTGTCAATCCATGAATCATGACTGATGGATACATCCCATTAGCAGTGGAAGACTCAATGCACGTCGCTCTGTGTTCCCATGATGCTCACAGATTTTCTCGCCTCTTCTCATCCCCCCCCCCCCCCACCACCGCCCCACCCCAAGCACCAATTTCTCCCTGTTTCCTTTGAAAGACTTAATCATCCCCCTCTCCCTCCCCCCTCCCCCTTCTCACTTATGACTCAAACGCCAGGCGAGGACGGAGGGGGAGAGTCATCCTGTGACGGTCGATTCCACAGCAACACCGAGAGGGTCGTTGCTCTCTCCACCGGCTGGTTTGCCAACCGGAGGCGCTGCGGCCGTCAGATCCGGATCTCCGCATCCAACGGCCGCAGCGTGCTCGCGACGGTGGTGGACGAGTGTGACTCGCAGACGGGGTGCGACTTCATGCATGCAGGGCAGCCTCCCTGCATCATCAATGATGTGGATGCTTCGGCTGCTGTGTGGCAAGCTCTTGGGATAGGCGAAACGGATAGCAGATACGGATACATGAGGGTCACATGGCAGGACGTGTGAGGTGAGAGTATGTGCTCGGACTGGGGTCAGTTGCAATTGCATGGATGGTCGATGGCTGCTACAGAACTGATGGCATTCAAGAGTTGCCCGAGTAATAGGTGTCTTCAAGTGCAGTGTGTGTGCTGCACATGGTGAGTGGCATGATTTTCCTGGATAGAGCATCCCCTTGTATGCTCTTATGGTCTCCTGCGCTGTCAACACCTGGGAGGGGGGAGGGGAAGGAATTGGACAGGGAACGGAACCACCTGCTCCATCTCCCCATGTAGCCCGAAGTAGTCTGGTTTGTTGGTACTGTATGATATATGATTATATGATTAGATTCTTGTATAGATTTTCCATTGAACCGAACTATTACTACAGTTGAAGCACAGCAAGGTTCGTCCACGGTTGACCTGCAAGTGCAACTTCAAATGCCGAACCAGCCTTGCCATCTGGCGTGTCAGACCAAACCAAACCGACATCCACACCGACATGTGAGAAGGCGACACCTGTCGCGCACCGTCGTCGTTCCACTATCTGTCGCATGATCGCATCGCAAGTTGGTCGTTGCATAAGGTCAAGAATCAGACCCTTCCCATTCTTGGTCGCTGAGAGTCGCGCATACCGCATCCTGCGTGGCCCTCTGAATCCTGAGCGTACAAGGGCTGCTGCTAGGGATCGTAGTCCTACAGAATGGATGAGCGCAGGGAATAGTGGTTGCAATGCCTTAGCACCGTTAGCCACCGCTCTGCTTCTTACGCCGCTTCGTTACCTTACGAGAATCCTTGAAGTGTTATAAAGGTTTCTCCGTTACAATGGTGACCTCGTCCCGCCCGCACATCTCAGGCCACATTCTGCTCGCCCTAGTAGCGTCAGCCGTACTCCTTATAAGCAGAGTCGACGCGCTGCAAGGATGTGGAGGGAGCTGTAAACGCCACGCCGACTGCAGCGGGCGACTGGCGTGCATGAGCGGCAAGTGCGGGGACGACCCCGCCGTGGGAACGAAGATATGCAAGCAACAAGGGAGGGGAACGTGCAGGCCGTCGGGAAGCTTCCGGGCTCCTGTGTTTGTTCCCTGTAACTCGAATCACATGTGAGATGCCGTGCTTCTCAGTGTTACGGTATATCCACATTAGTGGTTATCTTGCAGGTAAAAAAAACATTTTTTTGTGTGATAATTATTCCTTGTGTTTGATTCTTAATCCAGATTCCCATACTGAACCCTGTGTTCTCCATGGTTAGGTCCGACTGCTGCAGGCCACTGGCCAAGTACCACAAGTACACGTGCTCACCACCTGTCAGCAATGCCACGTCAGCAATTCTCACTCTCAACGGATTTGGAGATGGTAAGCCACGATCACTCGTGTGTATCATGGACGGATCCATGCCAGTGGTCACGGGTGACCCAGTTGCTGTGATGCTCGCAAGTCCGTAGCGTGCTCGCGACAGTGGTGGATGAGTGTGACTCGCGGGCGGGGTGCGATAGGATGCACGCGGGGCAGCCTCCCTGCATCATTAATGACGTTGATGCGTCTGCTGCTGTGTGGCAAGCGCTTGGGATCGGCCAATCGGATAGCAGATACGGATACATGAAGGTCACATGGCAGGATGTGTGATGTGCTGTGTGCTTGGGCTGCCACATAGTTGCAAAGGTGGTAACTACCGTAGCTACCTCATTCAGAAATGGAAAAATGGGCTGGCCACATGGTAGTACCCTGTTTTGAAGACCAGAACAATGCACAAGCTCAACGTGTTATTCTCAATCCAGGTACAGTAACAACGTGGTTCTTTGGCTGCCATTGCTTACTCCAACATGCTCTCCATATTAAGGTAAGGTAAGCTGAAAACACTGGTTGCACACTGCAACACAAACTGGATAGCAACTAACAAATTGTTGTGACACATTCTATGGGAACATGTGCTTAAAACGCACACCTCTGGGGAACTGGAGTGTTCCCCTGGCTCCCACTCATGTGCTAATCTGGTGTTTGTTTCTTTACTCATACGTGAAGTGGACGAATGTCAGATGAGATGACACCATCGCACACATTGCGTCACCTCTGCTTGGCTGATGGCTGCTCCAAGGCCTGTGTGTGGCTCACTAGCTCTCTATCGGCCTGTACAAGTCACACACACACACAGCAGTAACTCGGTTCCTTCTCAACCCAAAACACAACACAGCTCAGTGTTTTGTCCAAGCAGCAGGATCACCAGCTCAAGTCACACTCCCAACCTCAGCAACAGCAGTAGCACCAGGAGTCTCAGCAGCACCATTTGTCCCAGGACCACCTTCCTTGCTCTCCACCTCCTCTGATCCAACCCCTCCCTTCGCCGCATTCACAACTACCCCATTTCCCTCCCCTCCCCCTGCTCCCCCTCCCCCTGCTTCCCCTCCCACTGCCGCCCCTTTCCCCACTCCCCCCTCCTCCGCAGCGGCAGCAGCTTCAGCACGGGACTTCTGCCATTTGTCCACAATCCCCATCTTCTGCACCACAGACTGCATGTTTCAAGCAACACTCCCAACCTCAGCACCAGAAGCCTCAGCAGCACCACGCGTCTCCTGACCACCTCCATCAGTCACCACCTCAGATCCAACCTCTCCTTTCGCCCCTTCCCCAGCTGCCCCTTTTCCTTCCCCCGCACCCTCTTTCCCCACTCCCCCCTCCTCCGCCGCAGCAGCAGCTTCAGCACGGGACTTCTGCCATTTGACCACGTTCCCGATCTTCTGAGCAACAGACTGCATGCTCGGTCTTGCGTCCCACTCCTTAATCAGCGCGTACTTGGCGATGTAGGCCACTGCGAGGGCGTCCTTGCGGCGGCACTCGGGGGCGATGGCGGGGTCGACAAGGAGGGCGAGGTCGGGGTGGTCGTGGTGCAGCAGCGTGGGGATCAGGTCCTCGTGAATGCTGTCCTGGAGGACTGATTTCCCTGTAAGGAGCTCGACGAGGAAGACTCCAAACGCGTACACGTCACTCTTAGCATGCACGTGGCCTGATGAGGAGAGGAAGGGAAGGTGGGAGAGGGAGGGATGGGGTGAGGAAAACAAGGAGGTTGGGGGTGAGGAGGAGGGCGAGGGGGGAAGGTGGGAGATGGATGGGGTGAGGGGAAGAACGTAGTACCTGAGAGGTAGGTGGCACCTGAGAGATATCACAGGCAGTACCTGAGAGGTAGGTGTTACCTGAGAGGTAATACCTGAGAGGTAGTTCCAGAGAGGTAGTACCAGAGAGGTAGTACCTGAGAGGTAGTACCTGAGAGGTAGTACCTGAGAGGTAGTACCTGAGAGGTAGTACCTGAGAGGTAGTACCTGAGAATAAGTACCTGAGAGGTAGTACCTGAGAGGTAGTACCTGAGAGGTAGTACCTGAGAGGTAGTACCTGAGAGGTAGTACCTGAGAGGTAGTACCTGAGAGGTAGTACCTGAGGGGCGGTACAGGGGATGTCGCACCTGAGAGGCAGAACATGAGGTCCATGCACAACTGCCTCTCATTTGATATCTCATGCACCACTGCCCCAGGACTCAAACCGTCTAACAAGTGGCATGTACCTGAGAGGTAGTACCTGAGAGGTAGTACCTGAGAGGTAGTACCTGAGAGGTAGTACCTGAGAGGTAGTACATGGGGTCCATGTAGCCAAAGGAGCCCACGACTCTGGTTGTGACGTGCGAGCGCCAGTCCGCTATGCCCTTGGCCAGCCCAAAGTCCGCCACCTTGGCCGTGAAATCCTGGCAGGGGAGGGAGGAAGGAGGGGGGCGGAGGGAGGGAGGAGGGAGGACAGACGCGGCTCAATGCTTGAGCAAACTCACAAAACAACCAGCCAAATTTGCAAGTTGCAAATCATCTACCATCACGAAGACTGAGCAGCACTGCGTGCGAGCAGCACACCCAGCTTTGCGAGGAGGAGCACACGCACCTGAGCGAGGAGCACGTTGGTGGCCTTGCGGTCACGGTGGATTTTAACGCAGCGAGTGCATGAATGCCACTGCCTGCTGTTGATGCGCCTTATACCCTTAAAAGCGTTTAAATGTTTTAAGCCCCTAAAACGCCACACAGCACACAAACCCACCTGGGTGAGCAGCATGTTGCTGGCCTTGAGGTCACGGTGGTGTATCGCAGCGAGTGCATGAACGCCACTGCCTGCTGTTGAGACGCCTCATATTTCTTCGGTGACTACTTTTGAAGTGCGTCATATTACTTAAGGTGTCAACTTTGAAGGCGTCTATTATTGAGGCGCCTCAAAAGCAGCTCAGCACACCAACCCACCTGGGTGAGCAGCACGTTGCTGGCCTTGAGGTCGCGGTGGATGTAGCGCAGCGAGTGCATCAACGCCACTGCCTGCGCCACCTCGTGTGCCACCTTCAGCCTCGCCGCCCACGGGAACGTTGCTTCGCCCTTCTTGCCTGCCATTGCCACCCACCCACCCACGCACACACGGCACCCACGCACCCCATAGCAGCACGACACACACACGATTAAGAATCTTTCTGCGACTCACGAGCGTGCAGTGCAGGGACTCGCAACTGGCGAGCAGTGAGTGCAAGAGCACAATTTGAGCCAACTTAGAAACTCACGTGGGTGAATGGGTGGGTGGGGGGGGTGCAGGGCCTCACAGCGGGTGAGCAGGGCGTGCACGTCCCCCTTAGGCATGTACTCGTAGACGAGTGTTGTGCATGTGATGTGATGTGATGTGATGTGGTGTGGTGTGGTGTGATGTGATGTGATGTGATGTGATGTGGTGTGGTGTGGTGTGGTGTGGTGTGGTGTGGTGTGGTGTGGTGTGGTGTGATGTGTGTGATGTGATGTGATGTGATGTGATGTGATTTGATGTGGTGTGATGGAGGTGAGAGATATGCATGCGTGAGGGGCCTCACAACGGGAGAGCAGGGCGTGCACGTCCCCGTAGGGCATGTACTCGTAAACGAGCGCCTTGCTGGGGTGCGGCGAGTACGCCAGCAGCTCCACTATGTTGCCGTGCCTCACCGCCCCAAACGTCACCAGTTCCGTCTGTGGGGCAAGAAGTAAGCAAGGGAGGGAGGGAGGGAGGGAGGGAGGGAGGGAGGGAGGGAGGGAGGGAGGGAGGGAGGGAGGGAGGGAGGGAGGGAGGGAGGGAGGGAGGGAGGGAGGGAGGGAGGGAGGGAGGGAGGGAGGGAGGGAGGGAGGGAGGGAGGGAGGGAGGGAGGGAGGGAGGGAGGGAGGGAGGGAGGGAGGGAGGGAGGGAGGGAGGGAGGGAGGGAGGAGGGAGGGAGGGAGGGAGGGAGGGAGGGAGGGAGGAGGGAGGGAGGGAGGGAGGGAGGGAGGGAGGGAGGGAGGGAGGGAGGGAGGGAGGGAGGGAGGGAGGGAGGGAGGGAGGGAGGGAGGGAGGGAGGCAGGGAGGGGGGAATGGGAAAACAGTAGCTGAGGCATGAAGGACGGACAAAGAAAGCAAGTTCATCACAGAAGGGGTTTGGGTGGACAGTCAAGCACACAGCAAGAAGCACAGCAAGCACGGAGAGCCAGTCAGCGTACCATAAACTCGTAATCGCCCTGAAAGCTGTGCGGCGCAAGAACCTTCACTGCAACAGGAATTGGCTTGCAACCACCAGCGTCCCTCTCAACCATCCGACCGGCACCAGGCTTCGACCCGCCTCCTCCTTCACCCTCACCACCCCCGCTCCCATCCGCATCCCTCTCACCCGCGCCTCCTCCTCCCTCGCGGGACTCATGGGGGCATCTGCAAGGGCCGTTGGGGCTAGCACCACACGGCCGCATCTCGCCTTTATACACCTTCCCGAAACCACCCTCCCCCAGCACGGTGGAGAAATTGCGAGTCACACATTTGATCTCGTCCTCTGTCAGCCGTGGGATGGTGAGATCCGCAGGCGGCTCCAATGAACGCCCGCGTCCCCCGCTGCCTGTGGACGACCCGGCGCCTCCGGAGCCGAGCAGGCTGCCGGAGCTTCCCGAGGTTCCTGACACTCCAGAGACTCCGGATACTCCCGATGTTCCTGATGCTCCCGAGACTCCTGACACTCCCGAAGCTCCTAATACTCCAGGGGTTCCTGACACTCCAGAGGCTCCTGATACTCCCGAGGCTCCTGATACTCCCGGGACTCCTGAGACTCCCGAGGCTTCCGATGTTTTAGAGGCTCCAGGTACTCCCGGGGTTCCTGACACTCCTGAGGCTTCTGACACTCCCGAAGCTCCTGACACTCCCGAAGCTCCTGACACTCCCGAAGCTCCTGATATTTCCGAGGCTCCTGGCGCTCCCGAGGCTCCTGAAACTCCCGAGTTTCCTGATGCTCCGGCTGTTCCCGAAGCTCCTGTCGATGCTACTGCCTCTCCTAATACTCCTCGTGCGTCCGACGCGAGTGCCGCCGGTGGCTCGGCTCTGGATAGTTCGGCTTTGGGTGGTTCCGTGGACGGAGAAGACTGCTGTGGTGCGACCAATGCTGAGCTGGCAGCTTCTTTTTCTGAGAGCAGGAGGTGAGGAAGATTGTAATAAACAAGATTGGATTGTTTTTTGTTTTTTTTTTAAAGATTGACAGTTAAGCGTGGGATATCATTTTAAACGACGTAAACGGCATGCCTGCGAATGGAATATGGTATGCAGGCGTATCATTCAGACAATGTGCTACGACGTTGGCATATAGCTAGAATAATAAGGAACAGCCAGGAAAACAGAAAGAAAACAAGAAGCTCCTCCGTAAGTGATGTTACGTACGCTGAGATAGTTTGCTTTTGGGAAGACCTGCCTCATGCGAAGCATCTCGCGACGACACGCAACCCATGGATACAATAAAAAATGCGAAAGCAGGGTCAATTAGCTTCTAGACCAGGAATAGTCTCCTATTGCGGAATTCTGTAGACTAAAACGCAACCGCTATGATTTTTTCTTTTAAATAATTATTGAATACATATTTATGCGAAAGGTAACAACATACTCGGCTAGGAGCTAGGACTGAAGCTCAGGAATGGGCCTACTCCAGTCAACTCTCAAACTGCCTTTCTGACGACACGAGTTTGACGCTGGAGAGTGATGGTCATGCTTTAGCAGCTCAATCATATGTGAGGAGGAGCACTCGCACGTGGTCTGCCGAGTTCATCACTTAGGCCTCACGATGACCACTCACCTCAGCACCACCACCAACTACTACCGAACCTGGGTGCAATTGGTTTGGATCTCCAATCAGACCTCCAGTCAAGGTTTCCGAGTTCCTCCCCGAGGCTACTTCTGGTCTTCCGCACCTATTTCTCACCGCTTGGTTCACCACATCAGGTCCTCCGAGCCTCCATTCCTGGTGCAGAGGTCCGACTGGGAACACCGATATCCGCACCTTTGTCATTCTGCGATGGTGTAGAGATTCCTTGCAAATTCCTGATTCGGTAGAGAGCTGCCAGGCTAAATGGAATGGAACATAAAGATGCTGGTGAAATCTCAAAAGCATATAATGCTACAGCAAAGTCAGTCACTGTTACTGCATTGCGGAACATAAGGACATGTACGGAGAAAATTTGAGTTTTAATATAATCTCCTGATGTTATTTTTCCGTTTTCACAACATAGGTAATGTTAAACAAGGATCTGCAGATGGGAGCTGAAATTCATAGTCCAGACCAGAAATCAAAGTTGTCCTTGTAGTTTTAGCATCTTTGAGAGAGTATTTCTTATATCTACGTAACGAGCTATGCACTATCACCATCACCAGCCCCTTCACGTCCCAAGGCAACCGTTATCAGTTGCTTTGACGAACACCTACATTTTCCAGGCATTCCAAATATTTCGTTAGCCGTCGATTGCTTTGCTAACCAAACCGCTCAAGCCTAGATCCTGCCGAACGTGACGTAGGAATCCTTCCCCGCCAAACTTCCACACCAACATTTTTCACAGCTTTCCCTCCTGCTAATCCCTAGAATCTGGTTGCTGCTCCAATTCTTCAGGTAGCATCTCCAAACCAGTTTTGAGTTGGATTGGATCAGCTATTCAGATCTGCTTCCCTTAGAGAAGACAACCTCTGTAGGCTCCATAGCAGTAGGAGTTACTTGCGATCGGGCCACATAACTTGGGTTTCGCGTCTTATCTTGATCGGCTAGCGTTTCCTGCGGTGGCAAGATGGCTACAGCAAGCGCTCCTATCGTTTTGAAGGAGGCCCTCAGCGTGAGTAGGAGAGATTGAAGGTAGATTTGTGTAGATCGACCAGGACAATATGATCGGTTTCGTGTTCTTCAACCGCGTGGCGCTTTGCTGATAAAATTAGGTTTTTAAGGTAGATTGCTACTCGACGACTTCTGAGTTTCACGACATGGGTCTGTTTTCCCACCGTATCTCCTTGTGCAGTTGACAAATCTGGGGGTCAATCAACAGTTCATCTCCTTCACTCATGTCACGATGGAGTCCGATAAGTATATTTGCGTCAGGGAAACGGCTCCGTCGAACAGCGTTGTCATCATCGACATGGCGATGCCAATGCAGCCTTTGAGGAGGCCTATCACTGCTGACTCAGCATTGATGAATCCTGAAAGCAAAATCTTGGCGCTCAAGGGTCAGTTTGGTGCTAGTTCGTGCTTATGTTTGAGGCTGTTTAGGTTCCGAATACTCAGGCGTTTCGGTTCAAACGTGCAGCTTTGATTCAAGGGACGACTCAAGATCACTTGCAGATTTTTAACATCGAGGCTAAGGCTAAAATCAAATCGTACCAGATGCCAGAGCAGGTCAGCACCAGATTGAAGTTGCGTCTGCCATGAGCTTGAAAACGTTTACTGACAGACTGCTTTCTCTCTTTCCAGGTTGTGTACTGGAAGTGGATCTCCAACAAAGTTCTCGGCCTCGTAACTCTGACATCTGTTTACCACTGGTCGATCGAAGGTTGTACTTTTAAACCACATCCTATGCCAGCCCTTTCTCTGTCATTTTTTTCCTGAATCATCAAAGACAGGCTTTTGCAGCGAAGATTCAGTGCTGAGACTTTTTATTCCTTTTTCTTGTTGCCTCTACCAGGAGAGGGAGAGCCCGTTAAGATGTTCGAGCGGACTGCGAACTTGAACGGTAACCAGATTATCAACTACCGGAGTGATCCCTCTGGCAAATGGCTTGTTTTGATCGGCATCGCCCCTGGTGCTCCTGAGGTATGCTGAGAGTCCCGTCTTTCTAAATTAAGTAATCAGGAGTCGCGAATATGGTTCTTCATTATGTGCCTTCAAATCTTGTTTGTTTGCAGCGTCCACAACTCGTCAAGGGAAATATGCAGCTCTTTTCCGTGGATCAGCAAAAGAGTCAGGCATTGGAATCGCACGCAGCTGCGTTTGCCTCTGTGAAGGTCCGTTGATTTCCTAACCCAATTATGGTTCGTTCAGTCTCGCATGTCTTTAACAGGAAATTGTACATTGGGCCCATTCGAAGCGTTTGCATTGCTAAGTAAGTACTCGACTAACTGTGATCTTGCAGGTGCCAGGAAACGACACTCCGTCCCTGGTCATTGCGTTTGCCACCAAGACTATCACTGGCGGACAGCTTATTTCGAGGTTGCACATTATCGAGCTTGGTGCTCAACCAGGTCAGCGAATGTTACATTCAGAACGAAAATTGAATGTTTCGGAATATATTGGTTCAGCTAACAAGTCAAGCCGGGTTGTTCTGTTGCAGGTCGCGTTCCTTTCACAAAGAAGCAGGCCGACCTGTTCTTCCCGCCCGATTTCGCTGATGACTTTCCGGTCGCCATGCAGGTGAGGAAGCTTGCGTTGAATGCTTCAACCCACAGACTTTTACTACCCCTCCCGCTTCTGAGGTTCAACCCCCTTGTTCTCCTCCCGTGTTCGCCCGTCGCCCGTCTTCACCCCGTTTCCTCATTCAGGTGTCAGCGAAGTTCGGCCTGGTGTATGTGGTCACCAAGTTGGGCCTGCTCTTCGTGTACGACCTCGAGTCCGCCACGGCAGTCTACCGCAACCGCATCAGCCCTGACCCCATCTTCCTGGCCGCCGATGCTCCCAGCGTGGGCGGTTTCTACGCTGTGAACCGCCGCGGGCAGGTGCTGCTTGCCACGGTGAACGAGCAGACCATCGTCCCGTTCGTCAGCGGCCAGCTCAACAACCTGGAGCTCGCTATCAACCTTGCTCGCCGCGGGAACCTCCCTGGTGCCGAGAACCTGGTATGCTGCACGACTTAAATGCGTTCACCCTAGTCCTTACTGAATCACTGCTGGCGTGAGTGCACCAATGTTGTCTGAGCATGCCAATCTTGGTTATACCTCTCTTCCTTGTCCCTGTGCAGGTCGTGCAAAGGTTCCAGGAGCTGTTTTCGCAGATGAAGTACAAGGAAGCTGCGGATCTGGCTGCTGAGTCGCCCCAGGGAATTCTTCGTACTCCCGAGACGGTGGCTAAGTTCCAGGTACGGCCAAACTGTGGTTAGACGGGTTAACAATTAACTTCACACATGCAAGGAACTGACAATGTCCCACACCCTGTAATGCGTTTCTTCGGTCGTTCCTTTTACACGTGTTCCCGTTCGTGTGTGCGTCGTGCAGAGCGTTCCGGTGCAACCGGGGCAGACCTCTCCCCTGTTGCAGTACTTTGGCACGCTGCTCACCAAGGGCAAGCTGAACGCGTTTGAGTCGCTGGAGCTGTCGCGCCTGGTGGTGAACCAGAACAAGAAGAACCTCCTTGAGAACTGGCTGAACGAGGACAAGCTGGAGTGCAGCGAGGAGCTCGGTGACCTTGTCAAGGTGAGCGCTTGGTGCCTCTGTGGTGCGTTTTGTGGTTTGAGATGGGGGTTGTACGGCTTGGAATCACTGCAAGGCACTGGCTGAATTCCTGAACCGGAAAGGTTATGTGATGGAAACCTAGGTAGCGTTGAAATGAGGAAAGTGAAAGATCTCACCATGAAGAATTTCGTCAAATGCATTTGGTGTGTGAACTTTCTACAAGCAACAGAATAAAGTTACCTAAAAGAAATGAGATACCAACATGCCGTGTTGCTAACGTATATTCTCTCCGTATTCTCCCATAACAGCCTGTGGATGGGGACATGGCACTGAAGGTGTACATCAAGTGCCGTGCCACGCCCAAGGTCATTGCGTCCTTCGCTGAGCGCGGGGAGTTTGACAAGATCCTCGTGTACTCCAAGCAAGTCGGGTACAACCCCGACTACCTCTGGCTCATGCAGACCATGCTGCGCAGCAACCCACAGGTGTGTGTCGCACGTATCCCCTTTCTTCGGCCTTGATGCCGATTGCTATACCACGGGTAGCAGGTTTGCTCACCGTTCGTTCCCTATGTTGGTGTGCTGGTGGTATGGTGTTTCAGGGTGCGCTGAACTTCGCCCTGATGATGGCGCAAATGGAGGGAGGCTCGCCCCTGGACTACAACACCATCACTGATCTCTTCCTCCAGGTCCGTGGTTGACTCACCTACCACTCATGTCACACCACACCATCACTCTTGTGTTGTGCTTACCCATGTTCGTGCTCTCCCTGACTGTGCTCCATGACATGCATTTGTGGTGGGCAGAGGAACATGATTCGCGAGGCGACTTCCTTCCTTCTGGATGTGCTCAAGCCCAACCTGCCAGAGCACGCCATGCTGCAGACCAAGGTATGTGCATGTGACTCCATTGCTTCACCCCACATGTGCTGTACTTTCCAGTCAGAGCGAGTGAAATCAACAGGCAGCGAAAGCCCTCTGTCATCCCAATAATTCTTAGAGGGTTTTGTTACATTCTGACCATCTGTGTGTCGTGTTCTTATGTGACCACCTGTCAGATAAACAG